GATAAGAGAATGGATTTTGAAAAATGGAATTCCAATTTTAGATTAGCCAGCCCAAACACCTGATTTTAATTCAATTGAGAACATTTTGGTATTCTCAAACGTCGCTTTGGGGGTCGAAAAGTTTCCAATTGTTTGAGATCATGAAAGATGAATGGTGTAAAATTCCAAATAGTTTTATTAACAATTTAATATCACCTATGACCCGTAGAAGTGCCCAAGTAATAAAAAGCAAAGGACTTTATACAAAATTTAGAAAAATAATACAAAAATTTAATATAATAAATAAAGTTGCTATTGTTCTGCACAGCCGCATTTCGCAATATCTCATTATTTTTGTGAATTATTTAACCCGTTATGAAGAATTGTAGATTTTGTTGTTTTTTTATAATAGCTAATACAATAACAAATAAAACTGTGTATTTAAATTTTTCAATGAAAAGTAAAAAGTAGACAAAAAACTTATTTATTTGATGGGCAAATTTTGGTTGCTTTTGTTATGCACAGCACTGTATGTACACTAAGCAGAAAAACTCTGCGTACAAAAAGTAAATTTTGTTTCAACATATAAAAAATGATTATATAAATAAATTTTTTAAATTAATTTTATTTTTTGTTTGTACTTTAATTCGTTGACTTTATTTTAAGCTAAAACTTATTTCTAACACATTAGTAGAAAAATTATAATAATTAAAAATGTAAAAAATCAGCGCTACCGGTGACAGAAAAAGTCTGCGTACAAAACATATAGAGTACCAGTATATCATTATACACAATCCCACGCACTTATTTTATAATTTAATGATTAAAAAGTAATTAAATTTTTAGTGACAAATAAAGGAAAAGCTTTCGAACTTTTTAGTGAGCGGACGCGTTTTTAAGCCGGTCTCGGAAAAATTTAAATTTCAGTATAAAAACAAGTAAATAACAATCACTTTTAAAAGAATCACTTTTGTTATTAATACAAAAATAAAAAACAGAACATTCTCGGACAAAAAAACAATTCCTAAAAGTTAAAAGTGCATAAAATATTAATTTGAAAATAGCGCGCCTTTTTCGATTTTTGTTGATTTTTGCACAACTTTAATATAAAAAAAAAAACTCAAATAGCTGACAGAGACAGCAAATTATTTTCTAAAGCTCAAAATAAAAAAAGTGAGTAAGCATTCAAACAAAATATCAGTGCGGTTTTGTGAATATATAAACAAAACAAAAAAGTGCTGATAGAGACAGCTAGTATTATTACAAACGTGTTCCACAAAAGCTGTAATTGGAAGCCCGCAAT